TACTACACATAACCCCCACATAAAAGAGAGAAGCTTACGACGACGTTTCGGTCCGACTTGGACCATTGACTTTGTCAATGGTCCAAGTCGGACCGAAACGTCGTCGTAAGCTTCTCTCTTTTATGTGCGGGTTATTTGTGTATCGTTCCAGTACGGTATTGTGCCTTTTTGTTATTTATCTGTTATCATCCCTGTGAGCTTGGTTTCTGTGAGGTCTATGATGTCTGGTGATGCCTCTTTGACTCTTTCGTGCCACTCCTCCCACTTATTTGTTATTCCATCAGCACTGGTGTATGATACCTTCAGTTTCCTCTCCAGCACTGTTTTAGAGAGTCTGTGGGGGTGGGGGACCTGGCAGTGTACTCTGGGATTCTACAGCGTAGTGTGGGGTGGGGCTGTGAGTGTAGATTGTGGTCTGTGTTGGGATAGCTTGATTGGTTGTGGGGTTCTGGGGGTGGTTCTGTGTGTGCTTGCTCTTGTTGCTCTGCCCTGCTTTGGTTGTCCTCTGCTGACTCTGTCCTTGTCTCTCCACCTAGCTCCTTTCGCTTTTGTGTCCTCTCCCTCAGCTGCTGTCGCTCTGTTTTTGTTCTGTCTCGGTCTAGGAACACCCTCTTGCATGCTGCCAAATCCTTCAACCATGGTTACTCTTGGAGGATCCTGTACTGCATTGTTTCTGTCCTGAAAATCAAATTGATCAGTCATTTTCTCCCCTACAGGTACCCCCTATTCTCTGAAAATTTACAATCTCGCGCTGTGTGTGTGTGTGTGTGTGTGTGTGTGTGTGTGTGTGTGTGTGTGTGTGTTGTGTGTGTGTGAGTGGAGGTATTTGTTGTAAGGAGGGAGAGGAGGAGGGAGGTAGGGTGGGGGAGAGGGATAGAGAGTGGGAGGGGAAGATAGTGGCAGAGAGGGAGAGAGATGGGGGAAGGATAGGGGTACAGGGAGAGAGGGGGGAAAGAGAGGGAAAGGCAAGAGGGAGAGGGGAAGGAGAGGGGGAGGAGGAGGAGGAGGAGGAGAAGGAAGAGGAAGAGGAAGAGGAGAGAGAACGAGGAGGGGAGAGAGAGAGAGAGAGAGAGAGAGAGAGAGTTTGAGGAGAGTTGTGTATTGTGAAGAGCCTACATGTACACCTGGCTATGGGAAAGAGGTAATTGTCCAGCATTTTGCTCTGAACTCGCCACCACCAATTGGAATGCTCTTCTTCAAGGGGATGTTAACAACCAAGTGAATGCCTTCACTGGACACATCCTTAATCTACTACTGGCAGTATGTAACAAAGCTGACAGGTCAGTCTTGGTTCGGCTTTTGTTGTAGAGAGGCTGCTACTGCTAAGTACAAGACTTGGCGAACGTATAAGAGACATCCTACTACCTATAACAGGAACTTGCACAGGCAAGCCTGTGCAAGTTCAAAAGTGAAGTATCTCTAAATGGGAGGTGGACACAAAAAGAAAGCTAATATCAGGTAGAGTGGGCTCCAAAACCTGGTGGTCCCTCGTCAAGGACAGACAAAGTTATCTGCCTAATGAACTTATTCCACCTCTAAATCGACAGGGTGGGACCACCTCTACTAGTAGCCAAGAGAAAGCGGACCTCTTTGCCGAACACTTTGTTACCAAAATGAAAGTTCTTCATCCAGCAAGGGACCTCCTTGGCTAGCTGCAAGAACTGTGTCAAAACTGTCAGTGGTGACAGTAAGGCAGGAGGAGGTGCATCTTCTTACATCATTTGACCAAGAAAAGGCTGTGGGCCCAGACAAGCTGAGTCCAAGATTGCCGAATAGATATGCAGACCAGCTAGTAACACCTCTAATTTGCATCTTTCAGCACTGCCTAGTACAGTGTAAATGGCCTTCTCTGTGGAAAGAGGCAAATGTAGTCCCTATTCACAAAAAGAAGAACAGAGCAGAAATCAGCAACTACAGACCAGCGTCACTCTTGTCAATCACTGGCAAGATCCTTGAGACAATAATCTCAAGACAAATGAAAAAGTTTTTTGACTACCACTCACTACTTTGTGACTGTCAATATGGCTTTAGGAAAGGTTACTCTGTTGCTGATCTGTTGTTAAACCTCTCTACTAAATGACACCAGTCAATGGGTGAATCCAAAGTCAGCTGTGTGGTAGCACTGGACATTGCTGGTGGTTTCGACCGAGTGTGGCACCAGGGCCTCTTGGCAAAACTGCGAGCACTGGGAATTGCAGGCTCTGCACTAAATCTCCTCAGTGATTACCTTCATGGTAGATCTCTAAATGTAGTTCTCAGTGGAACAGAATCAGCAAGACATCCTATTGGGGCAAGTGTTCCACAGGAAAGTGTGCTTGGACCATTGTTATGGAATGTCTGGAAATAAATGGAATAAAATACCAACACAATGGGAATATAAACACTTAAGCAGTATAATGTGATCCTTTATTGACAACATTTCGCCCACGCAGTGGGTTTTATCTAGTCACAAACAGATCTACCTGGGCAGATCTGTTTGTGACTCCTGCACCTCCTGCCGAGTCTTTTGCTTTCGTAATGATCCCGTAGCTTGATCGCTAGCGCACTCAGCTCACACACTGAGGTCCAGGGATCGATTCCCCGGTACGGCTGAGAAAACATTAGGATATGTTTTTATAAGACACCTGTTGTCCATGTTTGCCCATCAGTCAAATGGGTACCTGGTAGTTCTCAGTGGTGTGGGTTGCATCTTGGGGCAAAATTGACCTAATTTACCCAAAATGCTCTGCATAACAAGGGTCTTTCTGTATAGTATTATTTCATTGATGTCAGCTAGGCCTGTATACCTTGTACATGTGCTTGTAGAAATAAAGATATTATTATTATTTCCATGTGCAGATTCTGGACTAGTCCCTGTGTGACATGCAAAGAGCACGTTACAATTTATTTGGCATATGTACACACTCCCACATAGGCTGCCTCCCAACCAGTGAACTGGGTGCTAAGGTTTTAACAATTTTTGGGGGGGTACCCTTCGTTAAATCAGTACCTTGGTTTATTGTCCAATCACTGGCGAGCTCGCCAAGGGCTGAGGCGATGTGCCTCACTCGCAGTCAGCATTTTCCAGACTTGTCTACTAGCTGGTTGAGTATGGTGCTCTCTCTCTGAATTTTGCTATTGCCAGTCTGTCACTGTGTGGTACACTGACTATTCCAATCTTTGTACATAGTATACTTAAGTGTAAATATTTGTATATATATGGTGAAGGAAATACAAGTTATCGCCCATCTGCTGAGTTTGTTTTGCTCCAAACCCATACGACCAGGCCACAGGCCATTCTTACCTGTGTTCGTAATACCCTGTTAAGATTTTCCAAGTGTGTATCATGATGTATCTATCTCGCCTGGGTTCTAAGGAGTACAAATCAACCGTTCCCAGTAATTAAAGTGATTTATTGTACTTAAACGTGCATTGAAAGTTTTCTGTATATTCTCCAGGTCTGCAGTTTCGCCTTTTTGACTTGAAAATAGCTTAGCGAATAATGTATGTACAGTTTACTTTAAGTTTTATTATTTCTATATTCGGTAAGGTTGATATTTCTGTCGTAGCATGTTTACGGCATTGCCATGGAAATCGCGCATGCGCAAATGTTGACATGGAAAGGCGCTTGCACAAGCCTATACAAATATACAGCGATATATCAGTGAAAATACTACGAATATGTTACTTTTTGTTTAGGTTATGGATACATATTTCTTTTATAATGGTATCGAGCACACACATGGTACATAAAAAGTACATTATGTATATTTAACCCAGAACACACATGGCAATTCGAAGAAAACTGCATCAGCACACTAATGTTCAGGCGAGAAACAAATACCTTTTTGATAGCCATCGTTGTCGGTTGAACATCTACAGAAATTCTATGCAAATTTAAGGACCAAAGATGTGAAATAACTTAACAGACGAACTGAAAAGCCACAGCATTCTTAGTCAATGTAAAACTACGCTAAAGAAGGTTGATAGTCTTCAGCTCACTCACTGAGGAACCATGGATCACTCCCAAGTTTCTTTACATCTGCTGTCCCTATTAATCTAACAGTACTCACCTAACTGTACTCACCTAATTGTGGTTGCAGGGGTCGATACTCAGCTCCTGGCCCCACCTCTTCACTGATCGCTACTAGGTCCTCTCTCTGCTTCCTGAGCTTTGTCATACTTCGTCTTAAAGCTATGTATGGTTCCTGCCTCCACTACATCACTTGCTAGGCTATTCCACTTTCTGACGACTCCGTGACTGAAAAAAGTACTTCCTAACATCCCTGTGACTCATCTGAGTATTCAGCTTCCAATTGTGACCCTTTGTTTCTGTTCCCTCTCTGGAACATCCTGTCTCTGTCCACCTTGTCTATTCCATGCATTATTTTAAATGA